TTATAAGGCGTCTTGTCCATTTCTTACCATGGAACTGGAATCGGCCATTCCTTAAAGGAGCCCTGGTTCCCTTTGCTGGGAAATGGTGTTTAGAGACCCCACTGAGGGCCAACATTCTCATCGCTACTGCTTGGTCACACAGTTTCTCTAAGACAAAACACATCTGGAGTTTTTACTAGTCCTTCCAACTCACATTCAGGACCGCCGGGGTTTTCACTTAACCTCCTCAAACCTGTCTTTTTTTTTTTTTTTTGAAGATTTTATTTATTTATTTGACAGAGAGAGCAAGAGCGCACAAGCAGGGGAAACAGTAGAGGGAGAGGCAGGCTCCCCGCCAAGCAGGGAGCCTGATGCGGGGCTCGATCCCAGGACCCCCTGGGATCATGACCTGAGCCGAAGGCAGACGCTTAACCGTCTGAGCCACTCAGGTGCCCCTCATCAAACCTGTGTCTTAATTTTTTTCCTCCCACACTGAATTTGAGGTCCCTTCTGGCTGTCTTGTCCTTAGACCGTTGGAGGCATGCCAGCCAGGGCCTTGTGGCTGGACCGAAACCCCGAGAGCTGACTTCAGGAGTCACTCGCCACCTTGCCTGTGGAGCACTGCCTGTTCCTAACTGCGGGAGAAGGAGGACACTTCCTCTGCTCTCTTGCTGCCTCACGCCCCTCACACTTTGGATGTGGGTGGGAAGGTCCCTTTCTGTCACCATAAAAAAGCTGGACAGCCCTGTGATTTCATTCCGCTGCTTCAGTACAGGGAAGTCCCCACGGGTGGCCACATTCAGGGTACTTAGTGAAGGACTTGTCTTCGAGCAAGCTCATCGGTAGAGGGGCCGTGTCATGGCCCGAACCCAGAATTCTCGCAGGGCCAGAGAGTGACGGAGGGTAGACAGCGAGGAGACGGGATGAGGTGGGGGCCGGCGCGGCAGGCCCTCAGTTGTAGGATGGTGTGCACTTCGGTTACAGTGTGTGGGAACCTGGAGGACGTCGGCCACGGTGTGGTGTCCTTGTGGCGGGGGCAGCATGGCAGTGAGTCTTACGATGTGAGTGCCCGAGGGCACGTCTCGTAAGGAGCCCTTTCTTGTGCCGCCCGTGTCTTCCCTGCCAGACAGGAGCTCTGTCTTAGTGCCAAGGAGAAGCCGGGAGCAGATGGGACGGTTCCTCTCTTACTTGAGCACCACAGCTCATACTTTGACTTGATGAAGGTCATTTAAGATGGAAACATCCCGGGCGCCTGGGTGGCTCAGTTGGTTAAGCGACTGCCTTCGGCTCAGGTCATGATCCTGGAGTCCCGGGATCGAGTCCCGCATCGGGCTCCCTGCTCAGCAGGGAGTCTGCTTCTCCCTCTGACCCTCTTCCCTCTCGTGCTCTCTATCTCGCATTCTCTCTCTCAAATAAATAAATAAAATCTTTAAAAAAAAAAAAAAAGATGGAAACATCCCTGTGATCATTTTCGGTGTGAATAAAATGAGCACCGAAATAAGTATGATGCACTTAGAAAGATACCTTTCCAAATACCGTTTGGCTTTTGAAACTGCTTTTCAGTGACCTGGCAGCTGTCTGGCTTACGGTCGCCGGCGTGTCGCCGGCGTGTCGCCGGCGTGGACGCAGGTGCCGCCTTGCCCAGTCCTTTCAAAACCTGTGCCTCATGAGGACTGCAGAGTCTGACGTGCCTGTTAGCAGGAGGAGCCGGGCCCCTGCCAAGTTACAGATGGTAGGTTTGAATGAGATTAGGGTCGTTGGCACAAGAGCCAGGTATGTGCACCTTCTTAGGGTTCTCTTCCGTCTCACTGTTTGGCCTGGAAGGCCAGTGGGGGGTAGGAAGCTGCCTGCCCCTTTTACACTCTCTGCAGGCCAAGTCCAGCATGCCAGTGCGAGGGGGTTACTGTGATCGTGTCGTTGTCGGAATTCGGGCGCACGCCTGCACATATGTGCCTGTCATTCCGTGACTCTTGGGCCATCGCTCACTAGTTGAGTTCACACAGCTGCCTCTCCAGAAAGATGACATTCTAATTATAATTGCTCGTGAATCAGTGAAGAATTAGTGGAATTTTTTTCGTACGTCAGCAGATGCAAGTATGCAGACTTCTCTCTGTTCTTTGGCCCTGCTTGTAGAGAAGAGGGAGCGTGGATGCACGCCTTCCAGGACACTCTGGTCTGGCCCTCTGACCCCTCTGCTTCTGTGATGCTCTTCCGTGCAGCCTGCTGACGAGCTGCCTCTCCCACCCTCCCACTGCCTGCTGTCTCTGCTCAGCACTTTGTCTCCCGTCTTTCTGGTCTTAGCGTATCCGTAATCACCAGCTAGGTAGCTAGTCTTTAACTTTCCATGAGATCCCATTTAACTTCTAAAATGTGGTAACAGGAACGGAACATATGAACATTCTCCTTTCTTCTGCTAGTACTTGACCCTTAGAGATCTTACTTCTCTCTGTTTCTCCAAGAAAGGCATCGGCTGTCACAGGGTGGGGAGGGTGGCGCTGATTCCGGCTTACTGTGTATGCCTTTGGTTGTATTTTCTTTTTTAATTAGCATTTCAGAAGTAATACGTGTTCACTGTAGAACATTCACAAGAGGGGCGCCTGGGTGGCTCAGTCGTTAAGCATCTGCCTTCGGCTCAGGTCATGATCCCAGGGTCCTGGGATCGAGCCCTGCGTTGGGCTCCCTGCTCCATGGGAAGCCTGCTTCTCCCTCTCCCACTCCCCCTGCTTGTGTTTCCTCTCTCACTGTGTCTCTGTCAAATAAAAATCTTTAAAAAAAAAAAAAAAACAAGAAAATAAAGGGTGTTTTATAGCCATACTTTTTTTCTAGGCATGTATTCTTGGTTCCATTTTATTTCCAGAACATACCACACACACACACACACACACACACACACACACACACACACACACACACACGCCGTGTACCACCTGGGGCTATTTTTCTGACTCACATTGTATTATGTTGTCTTTCCATGCTATCATATATTCTCATTAGTTTGTTTTTTATTGGCAATGGAATGGTCTATTGTTTGGTTCTGTCATAATTTGCATAATCAGTTCCTGGTATTAACTGTTCAATTATGGAGTATTGAGTGGGTCTAATTTTATCTATTACATACAATGCCGTGATGACCATCCTTTGTAGCTTATTTTTCGCATACCTCTATGACCTTTTCCCTGGACTAAATTCTTATAAAAAGACAGATATTTAACTTGGACACATACTGACAGATCATCCAAAAAGGCTGTTCAAAGCATTACTCTCACCCACCGTGTCTGGAAGGTTCTGTCTTATCACCATCGAAGCTGGAGAGTCTCTGATTACTGAGCACTGGTGTGTACATTTGTGAGTTTCCTCTTTGGTATTAGTTTTGGTGTGTTCATCCTTTTTCTAGTTTTCGTGTTTCTGAAAGAATCCTTGCTCTAGGGAGGATGTTAACTCCGTTGTTACTCTCTCCTTTGTGATTCCCGTGTGTGGCATTTTGAGTTTGGAGAGGCTTTGCAGTCTTAAGATTTAGGGACATGTTGCTGTTGCTCATTTATGCGCATTGCTGCCTCCTCTGTAACTTTAGAAATAGTCTTGCTGGCAGCTGAAACCACCCTCCTCCCCTGCACAAGTAGGTCCTATCCAGATGCCCATCAACGGATAAGAGAAGGGATAAGGAAATGGAGGTTTGTCCACGTGTTGGAATACAGCTCAGCAATGAAAAGGAGCAAACTACTCGTGCACGCGAAAACATGGATTGTCATACTGAGCAAAAGAAGATGAACAGAATGGTGACAGAGAGCAGGGCTGTGGAGGCTGGGGGAAGTGAGAGGGACTGGTAACGGGGATGGTTCCTTTTGTAGGGGATGCAAAGTTGTAAAAGCAGCTGTGCTGGTGTGGCTCAACTCTTGAGCAGACAAAAGCCATGGGGCTGGGCGCCTGGGTGGCTCAGTCGTTAAGCGTCTGCCCTCGGCTCAGGTCATGATCCCAAGGTCCTGGGATCGAGTCCGACATCGGGCTCCCCGCTCAGCGGGAAGCCTGCTTCTCCCTCTCCCACGCTCCCTGCTTGTGTTCCCTCTCTCGCTGTCTCTCTCTCTGTTAAAAAATAAATAAAAAATCTTAAAAAAAAAAAAAAAGCCGTGGGGCTGTCCACAGTCAGTGGCTGGATTTTGTGGCATGGGAAGTAGATGTCCATAACGCTATTCAGAGAACGATGGGTGCAGAAGAGTGCATACTGCAGTGGTCCCATTTATATCGAGTTCTAGGCAAAAGTCATCTAAGAAATAGAAGTGAAACAATATTGGGGTGGGCAGATGGACCAGAGAGCGACGGAAATGTTCAGTATTTTTTGAGTGGTGCGTACACGGGGATTTGTGATCATCAGAACCCATCAAACTGGGGGAAAATACATTCTAATTGGGGGGAAAAAAGTAGCCCCTAATCTTTTTTCTTTTTTTCTCTATAAAAAAAATATTTTCATAAGTCATGTCTCTGCTGAGTGATATGCCGTTACCTTTCTGTCTGTTGACAAAGATGCCAGCCAGTCATCCCCATATACCAGCTGCCGCCACGCCCAGCACCAGCTCACTGGGAAACCACCTTCCCCACACCAGAGGTTTGCTCGTTAGCATAGGCAGTGTCCTGCACATTATAGAACGCAGTGGTTTTTAGGAACTAAAGAGTTCTCCCCCCTGCCCCCAAACTGGGAATCAGTTCCACTGGAATTTAATTTGTATATTGAACTTAGTCATTTTGAGACTGTGGGGTTCGTCATTTCCCCTTCCAAGAGGAAGTGTCATTATGCATTTGAAACTTCTCGACATGCTATGAAGGTATCTTTGGAGGGTAGGGGACATTTTGAGAAGTTGTGCAGCTCATCTAAGTCAAATAATACTTGCATTTCTGGTGTGCGGAAAATGTGTAGGCACAAAAAGAGATGAGGTGGTGGGGAGAAACAAGTGACCTACCTTGTGGTGAAAACCAAGCAGCGAGGAGCTTTCTTAGCACCTCTGACTTCTCTCTTGTGTGGGGTCTAGGAGCTGGTCAGACTAACCATCGAGAAGCAGGGGCATCCGTCTCCAACCAGCCCAGTGAAACCCAGTTCCCCAGCCTGCAAACCCGATGGGTGAGTTCTGACTAAACCCTCCAGTCATTGGAGAGAGAATGGAAGCCAAGCAGGGAGGCTGTTTAAGGCCTGCATTCCTTTCTCAGTGACCTCTGGGCAAGTACCTGTATTACTTTAAAGTGTGTATAGCTCACCCACATTTTGAAGTGTTGCCTGATCTCAAGGTTAACAGTCAGTGTGACTCTCAGGATACCATGTGAGCGTTCACGTGACCCACACCTGTGCTTCTCCAGAGCAACTTCCTTTCATCATTAGAAAGAACTTTGAAGGGTTGGGTTTGGGGGATTTGGCTTGAGAGCTTTGAGCTTTATCAAGAAAGTAAAGTGAGGGCAATGGGGACAGTTCTAAGGCCTTGCAACAAGTTCTACTGCAAGTCCTTAGACAAAATATAAAACATAAATTTGGAGCATTTAGAGAGCCTTTAGATCATGTAGTCTGAAGTTTCCTCTTATAGACAAGGAAACTGAGATGCGGTCAGGGGGACTTGGCCAGGCTCCTGCTGTGTGTTGGTGATCAATCCAGACTCGAAACCCCATCCCTGCCGTGGAGCTCCAGGCATAGTGTCCAGCGCTCCTGCTTCTCAGCCTGGTGCCCCCCATCATTCCCATGCCCTGGTGCCCTTCTGCCCCTCCCAGGACCTATGTGTGCTCTGTAACCTTCTGTAATCCCAAGTTCTTCTCATTCTCCAGCCAGTCTGAGCTCCCCCTGACAGATCGAGAGATGGAGATTCTAAACAAGACAACTGGCCTGTCCCAGTCAGCCGAGCTTCTCCCAGACTCTACAGATGAGGAGGTCGCACCCCCCAAGCCCCCCTTACCTGGCATTCGGGTGGTTGATAACAGGTAATTTTTATTTTTCTAGCACCCTCTTCTACTTAAAATATAATCTGATGAAAGGATGGTAGATGAACCAAAGTGAAAATGGTGCCATTAGGGTAAGAACTTCGAACCCCGCCCCTCGCTCTTTGGAAGGCTTTGCAATCTTGATCTTCCTTGGGAAGGGCATCTGTGGAGGACGTGAGCCCGGCCCCAGTAACTTCCCTTGCCACACGCTCCAAGAACTCCCAGTGGAGAGCCTCTTAGGCTCAGTACAATTTATGATGGAAGGAAAAGAAAGGATTTTTCTGATTTTTGGTTTTTTGGCATTGGTAGGTTTTATTTTGGCAGCGGTGGAGTGGGACAGGAGTTGAAAGTGTGAAAAGTAGGTGTAAAGTGTCTGATAATGAAAGAATCCCACATTCTATACCCTAATACCTTTTTAAAAAGCTTTTGTTTGGGTCATTCGGTTTGATAGGATTTCTTGATCTATTTCAGCCCTCCACCAGCATTGCCACCGAAGAAAAGACAGTCAGCTCCATCCCCGACCCGAGTGGCTGTCGTTGCCCCCATGAGTCGAGCCACCAGTGGCTCCAGTTTGCCCGTTGGAATTAATAGGCAGGTAATGTAGCCCCATCTGGCAAGGCAGAGGAAGGCTTTGGGTTTGGGAACTTTAATCGTGAAGCTAAAAGAAACCCAGTGGTCTTCGGCCCCTGGCAATGAGAGGATCGTTCCTTCTCTGGACAGGACTACAGGACCTGGCGGAAGTTCCCACATGGGGGAGGGGGCCGGGGTGGAGAGGCTGGAGCTGAGGAGTGTCTCCCGTGGACATCTGAGCCTGGCCCCAGGGCCCTCGCTTTTCACAGTCCCAGCACTCGGAAAGGCTTCTTTCTCGGAAGTCACAGACTTGGCTTTTTATTGCTTACATCAAAGATGGGCCTTTCCAACCAGTTTCTGAGCTTGGCAGTCTCCTCTAAGTCAATGCACTGATCCCTCTCCCCTGGGCTCTGCCACCATTTCTCAGAAGTGACTTGGGCTTGTTTTTATTTTTCCACCCGAGGATTTTGACGTGGACTGTTACACACAAAGGCGACTCTCAGGAGGCAGCCACTCGTACGGCGGAGAGTCGCCCCGCCTCTCCCCCTGCAGCAGCATAGGCAAGCTCAGCAAGTCAGACGAGCAGCTGTCCTCTCTGGACAGGGACAGCGGCCAGTGCTCCCGGAACACAAGCTGTGAAACACTAGGTGAGCATCAGGCATCTTGGTCACACCTCCTGTCTCATCATTTCTTGGTGGCTGCTTTGGGGTCACACAGGGAGGCCAGGCACCGGTCATACGGCCCTGGCCAAGTCATTCAGAGTCTGTTTTGTCATCTGTAGAGTGAGGGGACCAATATCCACCTCTCTCAAGGAGGTCGGAAGTTTGAATGAAATAACCATGTGCATCCACGTAGGAGATGCTCAGGTGGTAGCCATTGTTACGGTTAATCTGTCAGTTTGCAGTTTGACTCCCTTTGCCAACATGAAGAGCCATCTGTGCTCGGAGCTGTAGATGAAGGAGAGAGCCCCTGACAGAGGGTGAAGGCAAGCGAGCGGTGTGTGCTGACCTCCTGGTTGGCGCGGGATGCGTGCCATGGGGGCCGGAGGGAAGTCTGAAAGGCAGCTTGGCAGGAAGTCTCAAGAGCATTAAGCTGTTCCTGTCCCGTGAGCTAGACATTCCACTTCGAGACTTTATCTTAATCAGAGATTTATAGCAGGATTTCTATACAAGGACGTTAATCTCAGCATCATTGGGAGTCGTGGTAAAACTGGAGACTCAGTGGTAGGAAATCTGAGGAGTTGTACATCCGCTTGGTGGAATAACATCAGTCACGATACATTGATCAATGGACAAAAATCCAAGACCACTGACATAGTATTTTTCTCAGTTGGGTTTTTTAAAAAAAAAGAATCCTAAGGGAAAAAAAGACTTTTATGGAAATATATTAAAATGTAAACAGATTATAGTTAAATTATGGGATTGTGGATGATTTTTATTTTCTTGATATTTTTTTGGGCCACATTTTCTACAGTGGTCACGGATTTTTCTTTTTTTAAAAATAAGAAATTCAAAAAATACAGGAAGATACAAAGAACAGGGTGGCAAACAGCCCTTTTTCCACTTTTGCGTTTTCAAGCAGGGAGAAGAAAGAGGAATATAAAATACAGCGTAGAGATGAGACAGGAATCACGTTTGTGTCACACACGAATGAATGGGATTAGGTAGGATCGCTGCTTTCTGCAGGGCCTTGTGGCTAACGGGTCATGTTTTTCCTGTCGTGAATGCAGATCACTATGATCCTGACTACGAATTCCTTCAGCAAGACCTCTCTAACACAGACCAGATACCTCAGCCAGTGGCCTGTCACCTCAGCCCGTTGCCGGAGTCCTTGGGAGAGTCTGGGTCTCCGTTTCTTGGCTGCCCTTTCCAGTTGCCTCCAGCACCCAGCAGCTGTCCCCAGCCAGATGGGCCGTCGGCCCCTGGACAGCAGGTGGACACGCCCCCTGCTCTCCCCGAGAAGAAGCGCAGGAGTGCAGCCTCCCAGACCACGGACAGCTTGGGCTGCAGGGTGTCCTACGGGCGGCACCCCTCCCAGTACGACAACATCTCCGAGGATGACCCGCAGAACCCGGCCTCGGGCCCGTCCGTCCCCTTCACGCCCTTTGCTGCTATTCTCCCCTTTCAGCAAGGAGGGTCCTCAGCCTCTGTCGAATTTGTGGGTGATTTCGCTGTTTCTGAATCAACGGGTGACCCGGAAAAACCACCTCCTCTACCAGAGAAGAAAAACAAACACAGTAAGCTTTTGTCGAGCTGTTGTCAGGAAGCACGTTCTGTAATCTAACATGGGGGTGCGTTTTATATGAGCATCTAAGTATTGGGCCAGAGTCGCACCAGTGGCCTCGTAGTTTCATAAAAGGCGGGGCCCGCGGTACGTGGACACTTCAGGGAGCCTTGTTTTGTCGGTACTGGTGAGGGTTTGTAGAGCTTGATAAGCCGACCTGTCCTTGCGGCCTCTCTCAGCTCTCAGGCCAGGCCCCTGCAGAGCCCGAGTGTTTGGCCCGAACACCCAGCGACAAAGAGAAGTGAGTGTCACAGCTTCAGGACAGCATCACAGAGCCACATCCGGGTAAAGCGGGATGGACGTTTGGATTCAGCTAGAACTCACTGCGTCCACAGAGGGGTTTTCTGAGGGCCCCCGAGAGCATGCAGGGCTGCCGTTCAGAGAGGTCCCTGGCACCCCTCATCTTCTGTGTGTGGACATGAACTGTCACGGAATGGCGTAGAACCTGAGCTTGCCTGGTTGGAGCTGCCGAGGACATTTCTTAGACCACATATTTTTAATATAGGATGTTATTAGGGTCCAGGGGTGGTGCTGAAATTTTAGATATTTGTAGTTGGAGTATTTCTGGACTGTCACTTTGCCATCAGATTCCTAGGTAGAGAGTCCTGCTAGAGATGGTTTTTCTGCTGGCTCCCCTCACGGCTCCCCATCTCAGGCTTTCTCTGCCGCACCCCCTCCCCCAGTCCACTAGTGCACTTCTGCTCCATCTGTCTTTGGTGGACTGGCCATCACCATTTGGGTATGTGTGTGGTCACCTGGGCCACACAGCCCCAGGGCTCCCTGGCCTCGGTTGCAGCATCCAGCAGAGAACTTCCACCAACTAGGAATTGACTCTCCATTCCAATTTCCCAAATGAGAGCATCTGATTGGCCCCAGTTAGCATGGGGCCCACCCTCAAAGAAGGGGAGAGTGGTTAAATGCAGCAAGGGTGGCCCCAAGGGCTACTGGGTGGGCCTTGTCCCCCAGCTTCTTGGTGGGTGTCGCCCAGGCTGCATCCTAGCCTAGGGTGGTCTCGTCCCCCAGCTGGAGGGAGAGCTGGCTCTGGAGGGCTGATGAGGTCATGCCCATCTGTCGTTCACTCGTGAGAAGCAGGGCGCTGCTAGAAGGCATTGCCAACAGCAGCGCCAGGGACATTTCCCTTTGTGCCTCTCCCTCTGCACCAGCAAGTGTCTAGGGAGCTGTTGGCCTTCCCTCTCCACCCACCTTACCTTGACTTGAGCAGTGTGCCGCTCTGGGCTCACACCCTTTCCTCTCTTTTCCTTTCCTTGGAATTCTCTGAACCCAGAACACAGGGTAGGATTGCATCCGTGCAAACCACAACAGATGTGTGGTGTTGCCTGGCCATGGAGCCGGGGGCCTCACCTCCGCTTTTTAGAGCAGGGGCGGGCCATGGCCCTTATGTGGGGCTGCAGAGAGGAGGAGGAAGGGAGACATCCGCTGTCCCTTTCCAATAGCCTCAAGTCTCCAGTGGCTAAAAATATTTTCTATTAATTTAGACATCTATTTTTAGGCTTTATCTTTTCCATCAGTGTCTGTAGCACTTGTGTCTGCAAACCTTGAAAAATGACTAAGAACCTAAGGTGTGGCATGCCCTGGGCTAAAGCTTCACACGCCATCGTATTTAGTCTTTACATTCTGGCCCCAGGCAGTGATATTAGCACGGTTTATAGAAGAAGGAACCGGAGTGCGAAGGAACTGAGCCTTGCCAGGATCAGCTGGCAAGTGGGTGGCAGATCTGGGCTTTGGAGTGGGCCTGTGTTTTCCCAGCACACTAAGGAGGAAGGGATCTGGCCCTCCTTTGTGGACACTGTATGGGTTTCAGTAGTCCCCGCCAGGCAGCAGGGAGTCTTTTTTTTATGCCCCATGAAAGGACCCCTGAACTTGAGGCCTGGTCCTAGTCTCCAGTCCGCTCTTCACTCCCCAAGGGGACCCTTGGGGAGTTCCAGTCTTTGACCTGGTGGAAAACTTGCAAAGTTGCTTTGCGAGAAAGGAGGGAGATAATCATCATCCCTTGTATTTGGATAATGCTGGACAAAGCTCATATGTACACAGTCCTGCTATCATAGAGTGTCCTTCTCCTTTGGGTTGTGCTGATGTCTTGAGTCTTGAGGGTTGTCGGCCCGCCTTGCTGAGGGCAGCCCTCCAAGCCCCTTGTGCCCAACAAGCTTCCTAATCACTGCCCGCGGTCCTGGGTGCCCGCTGGAGCGCCGCCTGCCAAGATTCCCGGTGATGCTGGCCGCTCCCTTCTCTGAGCTCCTGTGCTGGGCTGCCTTTGAAACGGACCCGGTCTTCCTTATTTCGTCCTGAACCTCACTACTGTCTCTGTGCTTGGTGAGCAGGTCTCTGCAAGGACTTCAACAGCTGGAAGGTCAGTTCTTACTGAAGCTTCCTGTTTTAGGCAAAGATGCTTGTGTTCAGTCTTTTTAGGGAGCACTTGGTAGGCATTTGGGATCCCCTTCAAAGGCTTGCCCCTTCCTCTGTAACCTCGTGGTGTTGGTGGTGCAGCGTGGAAGAACAGCGTCGTGGGGCTCGAGGGGGTTGGTGGGCTGCACTTGCCTTCCGGCAGCAGAGCCCTCATGGGCAAGACTGCCTTTACCTACCCGCCTTTTATGGCCAAGCCCTGCTCAGTGCTTGCTGGGGTGAAGACATTCTTACTGATTCTTTTAAATAAAGGAGATGACTTTGAACGCCCTCCTTCGGTGAAGGGCACCAGAAAGACAGCCCTAGAGAAAGGCATGGCTTATCTACCTTGACCCCAGTTGAGGGTCTCCAGTTAAGCCCCCAACTTTGAGGCTATGTGAAAATACAGAATGAAGCCCTGCAAAATTGTCCTGGCCACTTTTGCTTGGTATCTAGCAGGTGCTCCAGGAGGACAGCACCCAACTCTGGATGGTACCTCTGTACGGACCTCTGCTGTACGCGTACCTAAGTTCCTTTGCTCCCAAACCTGGGAGGGAGCTAGCTAGTAAGAAAAAGCGGCCCAGGTTTGGACTGCATTTCAGGCCAGCCTTGACCTAGACTTTGCGGTGGGGAGTGTCCAATGTGCGTTCCAGTCCCACAGAGAGACAGGGATTGGAGAAGGGCCTACTCCCACCCAGCCTCCCAGCTTCGTAAAGGTGCCAGAGGGCCGGACAGTCGGCTCCAAGCTGTCACTTGCCCCAAACCTGTGGAGTCTTCAGAAGGGCCTGGCTCTGGAGTCAGGGCTCCAATTGCTAACCCAGTTGGGAGTAAGGTGCAGGGGCTGAGGGCTCCATGCCTGCTTCAGAAAAGGGTGCCTGTGAGGATGGATGCCTGAGGTGTTGCGCCTCCCCAGGTGGGCGAGGCCCCTGTTGGCTGCAAGGGCTCACGGCTCAGGCAGGGAGTCTGCCACGGGGCGGCCTTGAAGCTACAGGTAGTGCCACCCAGAGGGAGCAGCGTGGCATCAGGTGGCGGGGTGGCAAGGGCCAGGCTTTCTGAAAGAGATATAGGGAGGAGAGGGTGCACGTGTTTGAATTCAAGCATGTCTTTCCTCGCCGTCTGTCCTTCCCCCGAGGATGTAGCCTCTCGGCTGGAAGGGGAGAATGGAGTTTAGTGGCTGTTATTTCTTGTTTACCCGGTGGGTGCTTTACAAGACCCACCCAGGGCCATCGCCTGGTTTAGCAAGTCATTTGGTCGGGATAGATGATGTGTGTTTCATTCACTCATTCATTCTACAAGTATCTGTGGACACCTGCTGTGTGTCAGGCACTGATGGGGCAGCAGCAGACATGGTCCCTGTCCCCTGGGAGCTTCAACTCTCCAGCGACAAGCAGTAAATCCTGTTGCATCAGCTTTGAAAATACATCCTGAATCAAATCAACCTCACCACCTCCACCCACACCGCAATCTGTCACCTAAACAACCGCAGCGGCCCCAGAGTTGTTTTCTCGAGACAAACAGCTCCAGGCAGGCCCAGAGGGGAACCCTTCGTGGGGTCCCCCCGGCATGGCAGTGGGCCGGCCTCCTTGCCCCGTTTCCACAGCCTCTCATGACCTCCCAAATGATTGCCTCGCTCCTTCCAGCCTCCCCTTGCTGGCTGTGCTCTGCTCACCAGACCCCTGGCCCGGCCTTAGCCTTTGCCCAGCCCGTAGCCTCGGTGTGGAAGGCGTCATGTAGCTTATCCATATTCTGGAGAAGCCCCCACCACCAGCCCACTTCACTCTCTGTCCCCAGCATTCACACCTGATCTGTTTTCTGTCTCCTGGGAGGGTGGGAGCCTCATGTGGCCAGAAGACTTGCTTGCTGGCCCCTGAGCTGGTGCCCAACACATAGGTGCTCATTAAAATCACATACGTGGGACAGTCCCACAGGTGGCTCCTGCTGTGGGAAGGGTTAAGAGGACGCCATGCAGGGACAAGGAGGGGCTGCTGGGCGGATGGCTCCTGCCGAGCCACAGGCAGGGGAGAGCCTGCTCAGCAGGACTCAGGGGAACAGCGGGTGCACACTTCCCTGAGTGCTCCAGAGAAGGGAGGAAGACCACGCGCCTGGGGTCAGAGGAGTGGGAAGTGGCACCTAGTGTCCGCCGCGGCCACGGGGTGCCAGGAAACCCCCAGGGCTTTTCAGCAGAGGGGGGTTGTGTGCCCCCCATATGCTTTTTCTAAAAAGAGACTATTTTTTAGAGTGGTTTTAGGTTCACGGCAACACTGAGCGGAAAGTACAGGGAGTTCCCGCAGGTCCCGGCCTCCCCCACTGTCACCTCTCCGCCAGAGTGCTATGTGTTAGTCACCCAGCCTGCACGGGCGTGTCCCTGCCGGCCAGAGCCACAGCCTTCGTGGGGCTCACCCTTGCTATGTGTCCATAGGTTCTGGCCTGTGGGCAACATGGTGGCGTCCGTGGTGTGGCGTCGGCGGGGACCTCTGTGGGCCTGGGCCTGGCCGTGCCAGGGGAGCAGGGAGGGGCCCGCTCGGGGGCAGGGGGGGTAGCCGTGGGCCACGCAGCCCCAGCTGTCCCCCAGTAACGCCGCGCCACCCCCCACCCCGTCTGCCCCACAGTGCTAGCCTACATGCAGCTGCTGGAGGACTACTCAGAACCACAGCCGTCCATGTTCTACCAGACGCCGCAGAGCGAGCACATCTACCAGCAGAAGAACAAGCTGCTCATGGAGGTGTACGGCTTCAATGACTCGTTCAGCACCGAGGCCTCGCAGGACCTGGCGCCGCCCCCCGCCCTGCCCCCCAAGCAGCGGCAGCTGGTAAGCCGCACCCCCGCCCCACCGCCGCGACCCTCTGCTGCCAGGGACCACGCGGCTTCCCACACGGGTGCTCCCACTTCCTCCCGACAGGCTCCCCCGCCTCCCCGCCCTGGGGGTGGCGGCGCCTTTCTCTTCCAGAGCAGCCCCACGCAGCTGGGCCTGGCTTGTACTCAGAATGTCTGCTCTCTCTGCTGACAGTCTCTTGTATTTTTCCTCTCTTCTTGGGCTCCAATATAGACCTCCCAGAAAGGAGGGACTCAATCAAGGCACAGGGCCTGGTCTGTGTACAGCCATCTGTGAACTTGATTTACATAATGGCCCAACTACACAGAGTGGCTGACACCCCACCCTGGCCAGCGATGGCCCCGTGGAAACAAGCTCTATTGAAGCACGATGGCCTTACACAGAGCCGTCTGTGTTCCCAGCATGGCACCCTACCTCCTCTGAAAAGCCTCCCGTGTGAGGAGTCCCTGTAGGTAATGAAGCCCAAGTCAGCACAGAAGACAGGCTGTCCTGCGTGGGACCAGGCGGGTGGGCAGGTCGGGTGTGTCTGCTGCGCACCTGAGCCCTGTTCCTGCGGCTCCCAGTCTACCAACCAAGTGGACCGTGGTCAGGTGGTGGAGTCCAAGCATCTCGCCGGGAAGAGTGCACCTCGGAAAGGGATTCTTGACCTGTTCAGAGCTGCATGTGCTGTTTTGCTCAATAGGCTGACCAGCCTCGTAGTGTTTTCACTGCAGAGGGGCCCAGCCATCTTCCGTCCTTCATGAGAGGACGTGAAGGTGCTGGCCTGCCTTTTCTGGGTGGCAGCTGCCAACTGGACAGCCAAGACCCCGGGTTACTCCTCGAGCGTCCGCCCTGCCCCAGGGGCCCCTGAGCCTTCCTGCATTCGGGAAGCTCAGGGGCTGACCAGGCAGAGCCCAGGACTAGCTGTGTCTCACGACTCAGGGCCTCAGTTCTTCACCCACCCTGCCCACCCCCAGGAACCCCTGAATATGCCCCAATATGAATCTAAATGGCTCTGAAAATGTTTCAGAAAGAGATCTTTAGCATGGAAATAGAAATGCCTGCCCCAGGGAGCCCTGACCTAAAATGTTTGGTTCAGCGGCTGAACTGGATTTCGTTGAGATCTGAAACAGTCTCAGCCCCTCCTGCCAGTGTCCACAGGTGCCCATCGGTCATCCTTGGGCACCTTCTCTGCACCATGGAGCCCACAGGCTTCACACAGGTCCCCAGGGAGCGCTCTCGGACTCGGAGCCTGTGTGGGAGAGCCCACCAAGCACTCCGCATGCCAGCCAGGCAGTAGCGAGCGGCCCAGGAGTGAGGCAGACACCCTGCTGAGCCCTGCGGCTTGGTTTGGCTTCACGTGATCCTCCCCACAGCCTCTGTCACCCCCATGTTAAGTCAGCTGAGGCTGAGGAAGCCAGAGAGACTTCACTAGGGCCCACGCAGCACTGGAAGTAGAAGATGGGGGACCAAGCCCAACTCTGGCTGAAGCCCGGCACGGCTTGTGACATGCCCTGTGCCTGCTGCGTGGCTGCCCTCTCTCAGACGCAGCAGGAAGGCTTGTACTCCATTTTACCAGCAAAAATGGTAGTCATACTTGTGTTGGCCCCTGTACAGTGCGGCAGGCACAGTTCTGAGTGCTTTATGCACAGATGGTCCTAGACAGGTGTCCCCATTTTACAGATCAAGAACCTAAGCCACGGGGACCTTTAAATAATGCCCGAGGCCAAACAGGTCCCAAATGGTGAGGCCCAGGTTCAAAACCAGGCGGCCTGGCTCCAGGAGCGCACTCTGCAGAAGCATGGGTAAGTGCAGGCTCTGCTCCCCAGGGGAGGAATGTGAGGCCCTACGTCAGTGCAAGCCAGCCCCAATCGGGGCTCCGAGCCCGCTTGGCCTCCTTCCACCTTGCCACCCCTTCCAGTGGACACAACTTGTGTGAAAGTTAGCTTTTTAAATCCCTCACAAGGAGGTGAAGGAGGGCACTCTCTTGTCCAGGTGGACTCTGGCAGGCGTCTGTGATTTCCTCAGCTGGGCCAAGAAGCCATCCCTCTCCAGAATGTCCAAGCAGAATTAGGTAGCAGCCTATGGAGCCTTCATGTGTACCTGCCTGATTGTTATCTGCTTTTCTCCCTCCTTCCCTGTCCTCTCGTCCCTTCTGTCCAGCAGGCCTCCTATGCTGCTTCTTCCTTCTCCTCTGTCTCCTACTGTGTCCAGCAAACTAAAGTGGCCTTCACCCCCGAGGACGGCAGTGCCACTCAGGGCATCAGTGTGTCCGTCTCTAACCCCTTTCTCAGCCGGCACGGCAACTTGCCAGTGCCCTCGGTGAGTCGCTCCCTGCTGCTCTTTGCTTGGAAACGTGAGTGCGAGCTTTCATTTGTCGCCTCTGCCTCCCGACCTGTGCGCTGCTGCCCAGCCCTGACTCTGTCATCTTGCAGACCCTGCCCTAGACGGGAAGGGGCATGCATGGTTGGTTCTCCATGGCCCGAGGACTGTGTGAAGGGGCGGGGTGGGTGGGGTGGCGGTGGGCACCGGGAAATGTTAGTGGCCACGCTCTCGGCATCACCACTCAGGAGTAAGCTGGCAGAAGTGTTTTGACCTTTTTCTTCTGGTCTCCCATTGGGCCATGGGTCAGCCCTGTAAGTGTTCTGTATTTAAAAAGAAGTCTTCCTCCCATAGGAAGCAAGGCCAGGGAGAGCAGGCTTTACCAGGACATGACAGAGTTCAGGTCTGCAGGCCTTGTCGGCTAACTTCTGCTGTATAGCAAACCACTCCAAAACTCACTGCCTTAAAACAACAGTAACCCTTTGTCATTGCTTAGGACATGGGTTGGCAGGGTGACGGCCCATCTGATTGTGGCTGGCCTCACCAACATCTCTGGAACCTCGGCTGGGACAGCGGGCTGCTGTGGCAGTGCTATTGCTGACCCCCCAGCCTCCGTGAGGCCAGCCCGGGCTTGCTCCCACAGCAGCCAGCGGGGTGCCTGGGGAACTGATGGGAGCAGGCAAGGTATCTTCAGGCCTAGGCTCAGAACCGGCCCACTGTCTGTCACTTCCTGGCATTCTCTCCGTTGAGTCACGAGGCCAGCCTGGGATTCCAGGAGTAGGGAGCTGGACTCCGCCTCTTGCGGGGGCTGCTGCCCGATCACCTTGCCGAGGGACGTGGCCATGGGAAGGGAATGAGTGCAGCCAATTTTGTAAATAGTTTACTTCTGAAACTTAGGGGACACTGACACTTTGGGAGGCACAGTACTGGTCTGTTATCTTTTGCTGAAATCTGCATCTGTCCGGGAATCTAAAGGGCTACCATTCTTCCTTTAATCTGTTAAGATGAGACTGAGCAGCAGGGGAAGAGCTTGGATGGGGCCATGTTTGGGTTCTGCTTAAAATCAGTTTTGCCTTTAGGGAGTTTATTTATCCCTCCTGGTCTCCGCTTCTTTCCTTCGAGATTACGCTTGTCTCTTATTTTGTGCTTGTGAGGATTAAGTAAAATCAGGTAGGAAAGTTGATTATTACAGCTCTTGGTCTCGGAGTCCGGGGTTCTAGGCTCGGCTCCGTCCTCATTCTGCACGTGACAGCTTGGACAAATGGCTTCACCTACCTGGACTTCCTTTTCCCTCTACGACCTCGTGACTGGTTGACCAGGTGACTCGCAGAGACCTAGCCAAGCTCAGGCTCCCTGTGTGGTCTTGTCTGGTTTCTGTCTTTGAGAGTCATCCGTCCGGGGCCCAGGTTAAGACGGTCCTGCCTGCTGTGAGGAATGCGCTGTTCCTTTGGGTGCTAGGGCCTAACTTTTTAGAGCCCTCGGCAACCCTATGCTTGCCGTAGAAAGGCTAAACACGGCTCCCTCCCCACTCCCGGCCCTGCCCTGGCACACAGACACCCTCTGTATCCTCAGCAGGCACTTCTGGCAAGCTCCTTTCACAAATCGTGCAAAACTTGGCCTTTACATAATCCAGCTCTTGACTGTTTTTTCTCCTCTATGAACGGAAAGTAAGTGTGAGTTATCCTAAGAAAGCATCTACAATGTCCCTTTTGAACAGTTTGGGGTTAAAGGGCTTGTCAGTGAGCAGAACTGTTTGCTACAGAGTTGATGAAAGTTTGAGGGCATTTCAATGAAGTTTGGGCATGAGTGTGTCATGGTTTTTATCCCTTGGGACACAGGGGAGTCTCAAGGCACCTTGCATTGGAAAGACCACATTCTCCGTACCAACGCCAAGGTACAGAGTCCAAGGGAGTGAGCTACTAAAGGGGCTTTATTTCTTAAAAGGAAAGTCCCCCCAGCCTCCAGAGATGTTAGTAATGGCCTGAATGTTTGGAACATTTGACATCTGATGTGCTGAAACCCCAGAGAAGTGGTTTAGTGCAATGCCGACACATTCTTCCTGTGTTCTCTGCTTGCATTCTGACATGAGCCCCAGATAAAGGGCTGTGGGTTGCTCTCAGAACAGCCCTTTATTCCTGAATCTCCTCATTCTGTCGTTCCTGGGCCTGTGTCACCCTTCCAACATGGAATTCTGAAGGGGTGCCCCTTAGGAATACAGCATTGGTCAAATGTGAAGACACCTCACCCTCTCAGCGACCTGTTACCTCTGACGGGGAAGATTCTAACCATTAAAAACCTCTTGGGGCACCTGGTGGCTCAGTCAGTTAAGCGTCCAACTCTTGATTTCAGCTTAGGTCATGATCTCAGGGTCGTGAGCTTAAGCCTCGCATCGGGCTCTGTGCTGAGCGTGGGGCCTGCTTAAGAATCTCTCTCTCCTCTGCCCCTCCCCCCACTCATGCACGCAGTCGCACACGTTCTCTTTCTAAAAAAGAAAAAAGAAAACCTCTTGAGTTAGAGCAGGAAAGCTGCATTGACCAAGCTTAATTGAAGTAGGGGCTGAAAAAGCATCTTGTGCAGTCTCCTCGGTGTTCCGGGTTGAGTATAATACAGCAAGCACAGGGAGCGTGCAGATCATGCAGCAGAAAGTGTCCTGAGGCAAGGTGTGAGTAAGGCCA